GACCACTCCTTCCCCATGCTAGCCACTCCCTTTCCCCATGATTAGCACAGGGCTGAGGTTCAGAAGGGGCACACTGCACATATCATAGTTAATCAATAGTTATTCAAAAGTCCAAAACCAGTGAAGAAGGCAGGCAGCAAGTAGAACAAGGAAGCAAATGTAAAAGAATTTTCATTCTACTAGTCTGTGTTCTTCTTTCATTAACTCTGAAGGGAAACTTGTACCAAACAAAATGGTCATGATCCGTCAACACTCCTGAAACTTGCCACACCATTTCACCACTCTGCATCTGTGCATATGTTATTCTCTCTGCCTTGAAGGCCTTGGGTAACCCTGCACTGGAGGATCTGCTGCATAGTGTCCATTAATGTCATCTATGAGCCCTCATCCCCAGGCCCTTTCTCTTTACCATCTTATAACATCTTTTACCATCTGCTATATACCAAGGACTATGCTAAGCACTAGACACTTATCACAAGGTTATTTGTTATTTGTTGGTCTGTGAGTTCCTTAAGAGTCAGGCCCATATCCTACCCATTTTAATAGCCCTGGAAACTAATACAGGGCCTGCCACAAGAGGCATTAATAAATGTCCACTGGATGAATACATTCATGCATCATGTTGATACCTCCAAGGTTTAGGAGTGTATGCCTTATATGGATGTTGTCAGTGGTTCCACACACATTGTTGAGCTCCATTACCTTACTCTGCAGGTAGGAGAAACTTCCAAAGTTTACTGACAGGGACACTTTGCTGTTCTCATTAGCCCTAGACCTGTAGTCCTTTAGTGTAGGTGAGAAAACGGTTCTTGAGGAACCATTTGGTCCACCTTACATTGAATTGATACAGTTCAGGAACACTGTCCTGGACATGCAGGTACTCAACAAACATTTACTTATTGTTTAAAACTTAGATATGGGGCTGGTGTTATGGCGTAGCAGGTAAAGCTGCCGTCTGTGACACCAGCATCCCATATGGGCACCAGTTTGAGTTCCAGCTGCTCCACTTCAGATCTAGCCTCCTTCTAATGCACCTGGGAAAGCAGCAGAAGATGGCCCAGGTCCTTGAACGTTTGAACCCTGTGGGAGACCCACAAGAAGATTCAGTTCCTGGCTTCAGTCTGGTCCAGCCTTGGCCATTTTGGCCATTTGGGGAGTGAACCAGAAGATGGAAGATCTCTCTCTCTAACTCTGCTTTTCAAATAAATAAAATTTAATTGATTAATTTAAAACTTATATAAGGCCTCATATAGGTAAGGAAGTAGGATAAAACCACAGTTTCTCAGCCCTTCCTTGAGCATCACTCCAGTTTTCCCATTGAGCTCATTCTGTAAGTTTAAAGCAAATCTTCCCTTGACATCAAATGCTAATTAACTCAGACGTGATTTAGCATCTCATCATGGCATCTTGGCTGAGAAGGCTACAGAGAAAATATCCTCCTGATCACCCAGCCTACAGATGGCCACATCCTCTACACTCATGACTAAGCCTCTGCTGGACAAGTTGGTGAAACCAGGCCGGCAAGGCTGCCGCTGCTGCTGCTGCTTGAGAAATTGCCACCAACATTCTGTCTTGCCTAGCACCTGCTTCTTGGTACCTTGCAACCCCTCACTCTAAAGCATAGTGCAGGGATTCAGTGGGATGTGGTGATAACTGGGTCTGTGCTTGAAGGCTCCCACGCCACCCTTTCCTAAAGTGCCCCTGGGTACTGGGTGCACAACACTCATCGTCCTTAGATAACTCCAGCTGGGACTGATAGAAAGGTCAGCACCTAGGCACTCAAAGAAAGAGGGTCCAGGGAAGGAGCATGGCTCCCACAAATACCTGGTGGTCCTTCAAAGAGCTGGAGAGGCCTCTGCAAAGAACATCTGGTTCTGCCACCCACAACGGGGGAAAGGGATTGCTTCCAACTGTGGCCGCCAAACCAGCCTTCACATTCAACCCTCCTTAACTGTCAATATGAGGTAATGTTGCTGGTGCTATTCACTGAATGCCTGAAAAAGGTTAAATACTTTACATCTACTGCCTCATTCAGTCTTCAAGATTACCCTATGAGGCAATGGTTCTCAAACAAGAGCCTGGATCAGAATCTCAGTGGGGGATGCGGGGGTGGGGGGTGGGGGGTGGATGGCATTGTGGTGCAGCAGGTAAAGTCACCGCCTACAATGCCAGAATCCCAAATGGGCACCAGTTCGAATCCCAGCTACTCCAATTCCAATTCAGCTCCCTGCTAATGACCTGGAAAAAGCAGCAGAAGATGGCCTAAGTGCTTGGGCCCCTGCACCATGTAGGAAACGCAGAAGAAGCTCCTGGCTCCTGGCTTCAGCCTGTCCCAGCCCAGGCCTTGATGTTGCAGCCATTCGGGAAGTGAACCAGCTCTCTCTCCGTCTCTCTTTCTCTCTCTGTAAGTCTTTCAAAAAAATAAATAATCTTTTGTAAAAAAGGGAATCTCTCCAGGAACGTGTTAAAGCCCCACACTTAACAGTGTATGGAGTGAGGCCTGAGAATCTCTTTCCAACAAGCTCCCTGGTAATGAGGATGCTCCTGACCCAGCTCCACACTTTGAGAACTACTGTCGTAGGGTAAAAGAGATTCAAGAAAGGTTTAGACTGTCTCATCCAAGGTTCCACAACTAGCACAGACAGATTCAGAATTTGAACTCAGCTCTGTCTCTACATCAACACTAGTAACCAAGTCACTGGGTGTGTGAAGGTATGCCTTGTCCTTCCAAGCTCACTGGCAGCCCCTTCAAGGTATAGAGCATACTTTAGGACTCCCTCATTTCCTCTCAGTAGTACACTGAGACTTTGTAGGGGCTGCATAGACTTTGTATACTAGCTCCAACTGAGCTACACACTTCTAAAAGCCACAAATTCAAATTCAATTACAGCTACTAAAGAACATAAAGACAGTATTGCCAGACCCAGCTTTCCATAATACCTCTTGCTACCTGAGTCTTCCCCGATGCTGCCACCACACTGGCTAACTCCTATGCATTCCTCAGTCATTTCTCCTAGAAAACAATTCTTATGTCCCTAAAACTGGGGGCAACTTGTGCCCTAAGCATATCTCCATGATGTCCCTTATCACTCTACTCCAGCATCTAGTACAATGCCATTTCCCCAAAGCCTAGCACAGTGCCTGGCATATCACAGGCACTACAAAACTGTTGAATAAAAAAAAATCAATGAATGAATATAACGCTGCAAGCCCTAAGTTCCACTTCAATATATCATCATGTATAATGCACAGTTCTCAGCGATGGACTCCAGTGAAGAGGAGAGCTGTCTAGATAATGAAGACCAGTCTTGCCTTTTCTTTTCCCCATCAGTCTTCTAAGACTTAGAGAACAGGCTCCACTTAGTGCAACACCGTCCATGATGAGACAACATTCTAGCTGAATAAATAAATGTTCCTGGACGCTGAAGTCAGCAGAGGCCATTAGAAGGGGAGGGAGTGCTTTGCCCTGCGTTCCTCCTGATGTGTCTCACACACACTCCTTCTCTACTTCACCATCCCACTGCAGTCAAGGGCTTTGGCACAGGGATGAAAGAGACAGATCAGACTCAAGGGTGCAGATCTGGCAGCAGGCACAGAAGCATCTCCTATCCTGCACCAAAGCCCACAAGGAAGGATCCAGAGCGATGGTGACTCAGGCCCCGGATTAAGTCCAGCTAGAACAGTACTGGGAATGAAAAAGAGCAAGAATTTCACAAGGACGTGAACTGTCAGATAACTATTTTAAAACAGTGTTTTTAAAGTGAAGCCTTCAACCATGCCCTGGCAACCTGGGCCCTGTTGAATCCTGGGCATACACAAGCTCAAAGCCACAGACAGCTTCTTCCTCTTCCCAACCCACCCACCAGCCTGCAACGCTCACCATGACAGGCACTTCCCAGGCCCACGGAGGGACCCTTGCTTCAGCCTTAGCTTGCAAAAGGTTTCCTTTCTAAAGGGGCCTCCTTGCTGCCCTTCGTCCCCAAGGCACTCTTCCCCACCACCATGTTGCAGGAAGAGGACTCCTGCTTCCCCCAACCCCTCAGTCTATAACACAACCTATGGCAGGTTGGCCCATTCAATTAGTTTGAATTGCTTCATGCCAAGGAAATTGCTGCTTTTATTAAAAATAAAAGCACACTAGGCAGGCAATGAGCTGTGAAAAGTGTGAGTTCGGCATAATTATGAAGGTCGAGGTTAAGGTTACCCAAAGAGACAGGCAGAGGTTTTCCAAAAGCCTAGGGGATCAAGATACGCATCTACGTGAGTACAGATACCCAGACAAGCAAGGAATTTACACCCCACATCTAAATAACACCCTCTCCAACAGAGGAAAACCAAAGTAAGAGCCACTCCGGAGTAATTCTTCTCTGGGTTAAAAAATAAATAAATAAATAAATAAATAAAATTAAAAGCTAAAATGGGAGGAAGAGGGGCCTACCAGATTGAACTCCAAATCACCACGCTGATTTTCTATCATGTCTGCTACCCTGAGGAGCTGATTCTAGCTGGGTCGGGAAACAAATCCACCAGGAGCCTTGAAAACATCCCCATCCTCCCAAAATCCGCTCACAGAAGTGGGAAAGTTGGGCAGAAGGAGAAAGCTTTCTTTTAAAAGGCCCCCCACCTCTCATCCCCACCCTTCCGCCTCCCACCTCTCAAGTTTTAGGGGATGACAAGCCCACCACCCGGCATTGCACCTAACGCTCTTCACTCCACCAAGGGCTGCTCAGTTTGTCGGCGGCTGGCTTCCCAGCATGTTTGTTTTCTAAAATAAAATGCCACCAAGGTAAACAATTGCAGCCTTCTCCCCCCCTCCCCAAAAGCCCTGTCACTTTCAGATCTCGGATTTAAATCTCTCAAGGACAATGACTCACAGGGCCAGAGAAGGGGGGAAGGGAGGGTCAACTGGTAAAAACCCATTCATACATTCAACAACTGGAGACCACAGTCCTGCCACATCAGCACAAGATTTCAATCCCCGGCGCGGAGTCCCACCGTACCTTCCGCCAGCACCTCGTCCACGGTGACCTGCTGTCGCCCGATGCCGAAGACCCTTCCGATGTAGCCACTGCCCAGGCCCGACGTGCTGCCCCCTCCTCCGCTGGAGCCCGAGCCCAGGCCAGAGCTTCCCTGCTCGCGCCGGGAGTCGAAAAACTTCTTCATCTTGCAAATGGGAAGCAGCAAAACAAAATACCAACGGTTTCTAGATTTTTTTCTTCCTTTTTTTTTTTTTTTTTTTTTTTTTAAGAAAACAGATCCAAGGATTTCTTCTCGGATTTCAGCTCGCTGAGGAGCCACCCGAGCCCGGCCGTGGGGGCGGGGGCGAGGGAGGATGCGATCGGAATATGCGTGTCAGTCGCGCCGCGGGTCCCCTCCTCCTCCTCCGGAGGGCGATTCGTGTAAGTTTAGACCTGTGATGACAGAGGAAGAGACAGGATGAATCAGGAACACACTTAGAAATTCACTGCTGAGTCTTAATGGGAGCAAAAGCCATCACCCTGGAGAAAGGCTTCATGCATTTTCCCGGCGAGAAAAACGCACCCCCGGCCCCAGAACCCGGGACTCCCGTGTCTAAAGCTCCTGGAGAGACGGGATACGGGCCGCTCCGGGCAGCGCTGACCGCGCCGGGCACTGCCTCCCCTTCGTCCCCGGTCTCCCCGCCGCCCCGCGGGGCAGCATCCCCGCGGCACCCACTTGAGACTGTTCGGCGGCCGGCGCTCAGCTACCAGCCCCGCAACATTGTCACGGCAGCCGGGCCGGCCTGCGTCGCGGAGAGGAGGCGGCGCTGCAGCGAGAGCCGGGGCCGCGTTTGGCGCCCGCCCGCCCGCCAGCTGATCCCCGGAGCGCCCGGCGGAGACTGACCCGCCGCCCCTCCCCCGCGCGCGCTCCCGCCCGGCTCCATCCACCCAACCAGGAAGTGAACCGCCGCCGGAAGTGCCTCTCGGGGCGGCGCGCCGAGAGGCCGGGACCGCTTCTGCGACCCCAGCTCTGTCGCGACAGTCGGGAAGGGATCAACGGCTAGAAGCGGGCCGAGGAAACGGGGTCTCAAGGCAGAAAGAGTTTTTGGGAAAGAACATTGATAGCGCCCGGCCCGCAGGGCACCCTGGGAATGGTAGTTCGGCTCAGGCCGACGACTGGACTACAACTCCCAGGATGCCCCTGGAGGAGCGGGCGAGGCAGCACCCGTGGCCTCTGCGGCCTGGAAGGTGGTTAGTGGGGTGCTGCATATTTAGGGTTTAGGTTATGTAAACACATCCGGTAAAAGAAAGTGCCTGGGACTAGGTTTACCCGCTGCTGCACGTTCCACACTTCTGGAACCATCTTATTTGCAGCCTGGCCTCCTGGCACAAGGGATTCTGGGAGTTGTGGTTTCTCACGGATGGAGGCTGACACCTGAAGGACGCTTGCTTAACCGCGGAGCCCCAAGCGGCTCCAGCGGGGCTTCCCGACGTCAACTGAACAGACGGTGGGAGAGGGCGATCCAGGTGCTTGTATCGGCGGTTGGTTCAGGCCACACCGGAACGCCAGCTCTGAAATAAGTGAAACCGGTGCGGTTCCGTCCCCAAGCTGATGGGCTGCTCTGGCTCCCGGATGATACTAAGATTCAAACCAAGAAACGGCTCAAGGTTGTGTGCAAGGCAGATCCTAGGAAAACGAAAGACCCAGCCGTTGGCTCGGCCCTGGACTTCGGGGCTTGTCAGTCCACAGGGTAGCCCTCCATGCCTTTGTTGACTTTCACTCACTCTTTTCCACACAAGAACCCTGGGCTGACCTCTTTCTCACTTCAAGATTCTTCCCTGGATGTTTATTTTACCATAATACCGCCTCAGTGCCCAGAATATGTGATTTGCACCTGCTAAACATGGCAGATTCTGAAAGCCATTTGGAACCCTTCTCTTACACTAGATTCTCCGAGGTGAGGCTGAAGGTGTTGCCAAATCCCTGCCCTTCCCCAAAAAGATCCGTGAGTTTCCTAACCCCTGAATATGGGCTATTTCTCACCTCCACCCTCTGTCCCCACTCCCTAATGCTGCGACAGCCCTTTTGACTTGTAATTCATTCTACAATTTTTCCCCCCAGTGGGCACTTGAAGAGAGGAGAGAAAGAGTCTCAGGAAAGAAATGTTCTTGCTTCTCTCTGATCTATTGAGCTGAGCTGGACTGAGCTGGCTGTGGCAGTTCCTGCTGCTGGGGCTGCTGCTGTGTTTTCTTGTTTCAAGTAGTGCCATTGTAATTAAACTGCCTGTGCAGAGATACCATCTCTTCTTCCGGAGAGAGTCAGTGCTGTCACTGCGGGTTCACAAATTCATGCCGCCACCTCTAGGGTGAAAAGCAGCACCTGCTAAAACATTCCCTCAAAGGAAGCCCACAGAGGCATGTTCCTCTCGCTTGCCTTAAAAGGCTACATTTTTGTCGAAGGAAGTTGGGAATAGATCTTAAAATAGATGAGAAAGTTCATTTGGCTCATTGTCCCCCATTTTTCTCAGCAGCACCTATAGGTCTCACATAATTTTTTCAGGTCCTAGAGTTTGATTCTGGGTCAGTTTTCACTTTTGTAGGCTTTTCTGTGTCCAGACTAGGCCAGAGTTACCCAAATCTCAAGTCTTGCTTCAGAGATACAAAACTGCCCATAGGAGTAGAAGTAGCTAATGTGTATTTATTTGAACATGCACCTCAATACTTTGATCAAAATCCTAGGGAAGACTGAATTCCTTGCTTTTCATTCTCTCAGAGACAGATAGTAATGATAAATACACAGGTTTTTTTGTGTTATATATTATTTAATCCTTACAACACCCTATTAAAAAAAGTATTACTATTCATTTTATAGGTGAAGAAAAGGAGCAAATAGAAAAGTGACTTGCCCAAAATCACACTGATCATAACAGGCAAAGCCAGGGTTCAAATTCAAATATCTTGGCCTCAAAGCCTGGTTGCTTACCTGGCCACACTACCCTATCTAGTTAGAAAGAGCAAGCAAACTGATCAAGTGAACTACTGAGAACAGAGACACACCTATAGGCAGTGCAAACCAACACACAGGAAACCTCTGCCATACATGGCAATGACCCAAGAAGGCTTGGATCTCAGGACCTATTTTTCTCAACCATAAAATCGGAGCTTTCTGACAACTCTTAGTAAATCTTTAGTTCCTGAGTACAAAGAAAGCACAGATAAATCACTAATCTCAAAACTCCTAATATGGGGCCACCTACAAAGCTGGCAGTCCCTTAGAGGAGTGCCAGCTCGAGTCCCAGCTGTTCTGCTTCTGATTCAGCTCCCTGCTAATGCACTTGGGAAGGTAGCAGAAGATGGCCCAAGAAATTTGGTCCCTGCCACCCACACGGGAGACCTGAATGGAGCTCCTGGCTCCTGGCTTTGGCCTGGCCCAGCCTCAGCTGTTGCAGCCATTTGGGGAGAGACCATTGGATGGAAGATACTGCTCGCTTGCTCTCTGTCTTTATCTCTATATTGCTCTCTCCCCCTTTTCTACCTTTCAAATAAATAAATCTTTTTTTAAAGCCTCTTGCCACACTTCCTTCCAAATATAATTTTTCCCAACTTGCCTTGCATTCCTACTCAAATTTGTGTGTATAGTGTCATCTCAAATACCTCAAAATCAGGGAACATCATAAAATCTCAACATCTTATATAATAGTAGATACAGAGTGTATTCTTGCCAATTTTTTAAATAATTGTCTTCACACTAATTATGACAAAAAGAGCAATCTGATGAAAGTAGAGAGACTGAAGTATTCTAGATCAGGTGAGCTTTTTAAAATAAGTCCAAGGGGGCTGGCGCTGTGGCATAGTGGGTAAAGCCGCAGCCTGCAGTGCCAGCATCCCATATGGGCACCAGTGCAAGTCCTGGCTGCTCCACTTCCAATCCAGCTCTCTGCTGTGGCCTGGGAAAGCAGTGGAAGAAGGCCCAAGTCCTTGGGCCTCTGCACCCACATGGGAGATCCGGAAGAAGCTCCTGGCTCCTGCTTCAGATCAGCGCAGATCCAGCTGTTGTAGCCAATTGGGGAGTAAACCAGCAGATGGAAGACCTCTCTCTCTGCCTCTGCCTCTCCTTCACTCTCTGTGTAACTCTGAATTTCAAATAAATAAATAAATCTTTAAAAAAAAATAAAATAAGTCCAAGAGATGCTAAGGATAAACGCCCAACTAAACAGATTAGGAGGCCAGTGCGGCGGCTCACTGGGCTAATCCTCCGCCTGTGTCGCCGGCACCCTGGGTTCTAGTCCCAGTTGGGGCACCAGATTCTGTCCCCGGTTGCTCCTCTTCCAGTCCAGCTCTCTGCTGTGGCACGGGAAGGCAATGGAGGATGGCCCAAGTGCTTGGGCTCCTGCACCCGCATGGGAGACCAGGAAGAAGCACCTGGCTCCTGGCTTCAGATCGGCAGAGCGCACCGGCCATAGCGGCCATTTGGGGAGTGAACCACCAGAAGGAAAACCTTGCTCTCTGTCTCTCTCTCTCTCACTGTCTAACTCTGCCTGTCCCAAAAAAAAAAAAAAAAAAAAAGAGAGAGAGAGAGAGAGATTAGGAAAGGACACTGACATTTACAATATTTACAATGTATCTTTCATACAAAGTATGTCAGTTACTGTGTTAATCAGGGAATTTGTTATTTTGGTTAATGCACTGATGCCTCCATGCAAAATGGATACTATGACCTCTTCTGTTATACTGTTACCCCCAACTTTACAGCTGGACGGTGAAGATGGTGAAGATGTCCGTGGTGAACAGAAACCCAGGGGCCAGCATTATGGTACAGTGGGTTAAGTCCCCACCTGCAACACCACCATCCCATATGGTGTCTGGTTCGAGTCCTGGCTGCTCTACTTCCCATTTTAACCCCTACAACAGCCAGGGCTGAGCCAAACTGAAACCAAGAACCTGGAACTCAATCCAGGTCTTCCATATGGTTGCACATTACTGGGGAGCTGGACCAGAAGCAGAGTTGGAATTGACCTCAGGCACTCCTGTGTGGGACATGGGCCTCCCAAGCAGTGTCTTAGCTGATGTGCTGCACACCTGCCTCCATCCAGGTGATTCTGATACGCAGTCAAGTTTTAGAACCATTGTTTAGCAGAAGGGAACTTCTAAAGGCTGTTTTCAGTTAAAAAGAACATATCGATTTTGATTTAGTTTTCTGGATAGAAATAACTATATGCACATTAAAGAAGGTATAAAGAAGAAAATTAAAATTGGCTGCAATTCTACCCCTCAGAAAAAAA